ATCGTGAGGGAGGAGACAACCCCCTACCCCGGTAAAAAAAAACGTAAAAAAGTTATTTTTTTTTTTGGAAACATGCCACTAGGACGTTTGGTTTGGATATCGGACATCATGTCGTAAAGCACTCGCGATAGAAGTTATATAATAAAACCCAAGTCTTGAAATATTTGGAATCCTCGGTAACAATACATTCCCCCCAGGTCCGCCGCCCAGGCTGTCCATTCCTCAACTGGTAAGCTTGGAGTCTTCCGTTACCCTATTGAATGTCACGCACTTGAACGTAATTAATAGCCTCCTGATCCGCCAGCCTACCTAGACTAAAAGATGTCAAAAGGAGTTCTCAGAAATACTTCGTCTAGAATTTTTATCTGCAATCAGAGATGAAACCCCGCGACACTTTACCCTTCATCCCTCTCACTACAATCATGGGCTCAGTATACTTACCGAAAATTAAATCTGAGATTTAGGAAATCTAGAGTGTAGAGTACCTATGATATTTATAACAGCCCCCGTTTAATATCGCTCCCCTATCCTAGCCTCTAAATCCCTCTCCCCACTCCAGGAGCCCGGCGTCCAGGAAATAACAGAAGCCCAACCGAGCCAAGTAGACAATTTACCCTTATTACTGCTTTAGCAATAACCCTGTCTTATGCAGTGATTGGTTGACTCGGCCCTAGGAACATTTCAAGACCGAAATTCCACAATGTTTGGAAGGTGCACAAGATTCCCGGGACCTTTTTGCGTAGGTGGGTGCGGTTGCAGGTGTTTCCCAAGGGTCAGCCTTCCAAGTTATATAGCTCAGGCACATAATTCGCGAGTATAGCCATCAAAGGTTACTCATGCCCAGCGCCATCAGCTCAGTACAGTCCTCTAGAGTTATTCGGCTGCAGACGAGAGTCCGACCCTCCACCTCCTTCTCCACCAATTCCGTTAAACCTAAATTGGGTTATTCCCACATTCTATCTCCAATGTTACCCTTTCCTATTAACCACAGCTTTCACCTTAAACTTAACTCCGAGCTCTCTCGTGCAGCGGTAACTCAGCAGCTGAAGCGGCCTACAGTGGTCCCCAGAGCAGCGTTCCCCAAAGTTGGCCAAAGCCCTGTGTCCCATAGGGTGGGAAAATTGGCATCAGGCGAAAGCGAACTTACCGGAACGAGCAGCGGGGATGATACGTACTTGGTACAGGTAAGTCACATCTTGTCGGAATTTAAGGCATTACATACTACGCCACGGAAG